AGAAGGAAGTCATATTTGTAGCACGCCTTCCTCTACATAATCCGTAACTGTAGAGACAGAGTTTCAGCTTTGCTAGTTATGAAACATAATTATTGTGGAACATAGGGAAGAAATTCGAGAACCTGTGCTGCTGGATAGAAATTTCATAGAGTTGTGATGTGATTAGTGCTTAATACAACAAGAAGGAGACTTTTTATTGACGAGTAAATAGCCGTGTAACAGAGGTTTTGCTCCGTTAAAATAGCTCAGAAAGGATAACAGTAAGATTTCCTCGGACATAGTACTTCGTAATTTCTGGACAACACCGACAATTATGTTAGTTATGAAACCCAAAATATGCATAAAGTTGGGCAATAAAGTCATCTGTTTCCAAAGTTAACGGACTAAATAACTGTTTTAGCAAAACAATATTAGCTAGAAATAAAACGATATAAAGTTTCTGGAAAATATTATCTTTCTGCAACAGCTTGTGTTTCCCCTTACCAGCTAAGGTGTCTTCATACTGATAAACTGTAAATACTTCGTAAAATGTTTACTTTGTGCCGACAAACCCAGATACTAGCAGATTTTCAGGTATGGAATCACAACATTAATTGCTTCTATGGTCCCCCGTAGAACATTGGATCAGGAAACGCCCCATAATACAGGCGGCTTTTCCACTTCTTTCCAGTGAAATGAGGATAAAGTTTAGAGTTAAGAGTGGTTTTCAGGTAAGCGTTAAGGTAAGCACTAGGAGTGAGGTTAAGGGTAATGCTAGGGTTAGGATCAAGATTAGTACTAGGGTTAAGTTTTGGGTTCGGGTAAGTCTCCGAATGAGGACACAGGAATACTTACCTTTCCCGCAATTTAGCGCCAAGCCCTATGTATTACATGTGGGGATGTGCCTACTCCATCATCCTGCCCGAGAGGAGACATAGGTAATTCTGACCAAAAAACCAAACGTACAGAGAACGTTGGCGGCACAAGGTAAGGCTTTGCAGGATGCTACTTTTCCATTGTTAACGTACACTGAACAGCAGCAATTAGTGTCTGACAGAAACCATGAATAATTGAATCAAGCAAGTTGCTCTACCTCCTACCAGTGAGATACTGGAGCATCCGTTTAACTCAACTTATACGTTTTCGAAGTTTATTAACTTATCCAGCATCATTAAATAGTAACTGTGTAAATATCATTTGTTCTGTAATATTGGTACTCCGTTATGTGTTTGCATAGCATATTGTTCGTTGCTGTTCACTTCCCGCTCGCATACATCTGATGTTGCGTAAACAGTGGTCATCAGTCGTTTACAGAGGACATGCCTAAGGCGACGAATGACGCAAAAATGAGCTAGGATCAAGTTATGATTGGCAGTCATTTTGTGCTACCACCTTGAAGAATCAACACCTAAGCTTCACTGTTTATGTGTGCGAGACTCAGGACTTGGTAAATATTTTCTAAACGCTTTGACTCTCTCAGCTACTCCTTTAGAGGCTTTAGTTATTCCAAAAACTGCGTTAAATGGCACAGAAAAGAACTTCACTAATAAGATTACTAGAATTATTGAGTACTTAACTTTAACTTACTGGTAGCTGGCTCTTTATGGGCCCCTAAATAAGTTTGATAACTCAGTTCCACGTTACTGGGAAGATCCGGAATGGAGGACTGAGCGTAGAATGCGGGTTTGGATCGTTTATATGCCCCCTTCCCCACTCCCTGTAGGACATGGAATAGGATTTCCTCTCTCTCAAGTACAGGTGATTATGCGCTCCATTCCAGAAGGGGTAAATATTCCCATCTCCCCTACCCTTCAAGCATCGTGTTCCGATGGCAAGACAACGTCAAGGCAACCAGAGATGGGCCTGGACGCAGGAACTAAACAGTCCGTCTAGGTGTCACACACGAGCCATGTCTCACTTTACGGACCATGCTTTACCGAATGACGTTCCTTCTCGCATGAGAGTTGTGCATGTTCTGACATGCGCCGGTTCGTCCACCATACCGGCGTTGGCAAAGTGGGTCCCACGTATTCAGCACTAATGAAATATAGTAGGCTACAAAGGCATGACGCATATGCACATTATTGGCAGTGAGTCTATGCGTGTGATAAGATGCGTGCGTGTTGCTGGCGGTGACGCTGGTACTGTGGCTGGTGATGATGCGGAGGATGTGAAGGTAGGGCAATGTGTTTACTTCCATGTAGTTGCTGTTAATGGTGATGGTCTCCGATACTAGCGAAAATGTGAATTCGAGGAAGCAGTTGCAAAGAAGTGGAAGTAATCACTGGAACATGAATTTTAGTCGACAGACTTTGAATTCATCCTCGAACCCATCATCGGATAAAAGTAAATCCGGCACAAGGAGTTGCCATATTTAAAGGATGCTATGCGACCGTATAACTAGGACAACTAAAGGCTCCTACATTCATCAACGATGGCACTGGCGTTGGAAAATGTGTTCGTTAGCACACTGCCCAAATTGCTTATTACTGCGTTTCAGCGCCGGATTGGCGTGAGGCTGTCGGTGGAATTGTTAATGGACTAGGGGTCAGTAAACCATGACTCATGCAGTTCTCGGCTGGCGCGGTTGGCATA